GAGGGGAAGCAGGCTCCCCACTGAGCAGAGAACCCGATGCGGGGCTTGATCCCAGGACCCTGAGACCATGACCTGAGCTGAAGGCAGAGGCTTAACCCACTGAGCCACCCAGGAGCCCTGTATGGCTTTCTTAATTGCAGTTACTGAAATGAGACTTTCGTGACTTGAAGTGACCTGGGAACTGTTTGCTGAGAAAGACAGTCCTGTGTTCAGTTCAGGGTGGTCGTGAACTGTCCCCGCAGAGCAAGCTGCTCTTTCTTCTCGAGATCTGTTGATTCTAATAATGGCCTTTTGGGCCACTTGTGTCTTCTCACCTGTGTTTTAAGTTCCTGCTATTATGTTTTAAATTCACCAATAAAGAGTGAGCCCTGGGCCCCATCCTCAACCCCCAAAGAAGCAGAAGCTCAGACCCCCTCACCGTGTGGCCCAGGTGTGTAATTTCCAGGTCCTATAGGTAGTAGACCTCTGTTTCTGCAACGCTTGTTTGTTTTTTTTTAAGATTTTATTTATTTGAAAGAGAGAATGAGCAGTGGGGATGGGCAGAGACAGAGAAAGGGAGGAAGCAGACTCCCTACAGAACAGGAAGCCCAATGCAGGGCTCGATCCCAGGACCCAGAGATCAGGACCTGAACCGAAGGCAGACGCTTCCCAGACTGAGCCCCCAGGTACTCCTGTTTGTGCAGTTTCCTGGTGGTTCTGGGAGATGTCTCACAGTTACAGTAAGATTCACAAAGGCCGTTCCAGCCACAGCATTGCTGGGTGACAGCCCGAGACCAACACCAAACACCATTGTAGTCCCCCTTCTGACTTGTGGACCACGGCGGCATTCAGAAATTATTAGCTTAGCACCAGGATTTAATAACCCCAGAAAGACGTGATTATTTCATTTCCCAGGTGCACGATTCCGACGGCAAACGGCATACATTCATTCTAACGCTGCCTCCTCCCTCTGTCCCGGCGTTCTTGACTTGCTCAAAACTGTTTTCAGGGGTTCCTGCAACTGGAATCACCTGGAGTGATTTTTTTTTAAAAGATTTTATTTATTTGAGAGAGAATGAGTGAGAGAGAGCATGAGAGAGAAGAAGGTCAGAGGGAGAAGCAGACTCCCCAAGGAACTGGAAGCCCAATGCAGGACTCGATCCTGGAAGTCCGGGATCGTGACTTGAGCCAAAGGCAGTCCCTCAACCAACTGAGCCACCCAGGAGCCCTGGAGTGATTTTTTATACCGATACTCCGGTCACCTCACACAGAATCACCTGCCAGGAAAAGCCGGTTTTTCTACCCTGACACTTCATCCCCTCCCAGTCTATAACCAGGGTCAAATCCCAGCATGTCCCGCGGGCTGATTACACAGCCAACCTGAAGAAACGTGTGTGCACACACGCAAGCAGCCACGCACGTATGCACCCATGCACGCACGCACGCGCCCGCGCACGCTCGCAGGCCTGAGCTGGAGCAAGGCTGAGCAGGAAAGCTTTGCCTGGAGCCTGAGGAGCCGGAAGCACTGCTGACCACACACCCTTCCTTGCTGCGGGGACACCTTCTGGGCAGAGCCACGAGACTGTGGGAGGAAGTTCGTGGTCGACTGGGGGACCACCCGGTCTCAGGCAAGATACCCACCGAGTAATGGGTCTGGGAGGGTGTAAGTCCGGCAGTACTTGCTGGGGGCCCCCCCGCAAAGCCTCATGATGACGTGGCTCCCTGGCAGAGACAGTGACTCAGCTGGTGTCTGATGGCGGTGGGAGCGGGGAGACCAGGGTCCTGGTATTTTTTTTTTTTTAAACTGATGGAGTGTGAGGAGCACAGGCGACATAGGGAAGTGTTGAATCTCCGCCAGACACTACCGTTACACTGTGTGTTTTGACTAACTGGAATTTAAGTAAAAACCTTAAAAGTAATAGAGGAGGCACCTGGACAGCTCAGTAGGTGAAGCGTCTGACTCGTGATTTTGGCTCAGGTCATTATCTCAGGGTCATGAGATCGAGCCCGGCTCAGAGCCTGCTTAAGATTTGTTCTCCCTCTGTCCCTTCCCCAACAGGCACAGGTGCACACATGTGCCCTTGATCTCTCTCCCTCTCTAAAAAAAAAAAAAAAAAAAAAAAAAAATTAACAGTGATTCCCGTTGCAAAACTCACTGGAGGGGCCAGATAAGGCAGCTGTTGTCAACTGTGGCTACACATTGGAAACACCTGGGAAACCCTGTAACCATATCTTTTAAACACCCACCTAAAGATTCTGACTTAACTATTTAATGGGTCTGCCTGGGTTCTAGGAGCTTTTTAAGCTCACCAGGTGATTGTGATGTGCACCCACGACTAAGAGAAGGAGTGAGTGTACCTTTGGTCCGATGGCCAGAGGTGAGCCACCTGCGGGCATGCACATGTGGTTGCTGGGGTGACTCATGCAGACCGCTATAGCCCGGGGAGATCGTAGCCCTATGGCGGAGGGGTGAAGAGCTTCCTGGACCCCTTTCCAGCGGGGCTGGGGGCGGGTGTTCCCACACCAGCCGGTTCCCCTGCCTCCACTTGTTTCTGATCCCGTGCACCCGGAGACAGGGTCAGAGTCCATGGGGTAAGACCGCCCCCGCCCCTGCTTCAGACCTAAGTAGCAAGTGAGTTGTTCCCTGTACTTTATCTTTAAGATTTTATTTATTTGACGGAGAGAGACACAGCGAGAGAGGGAACACAAGCAGGGGGAGTGGGAGAGGGAGAAGCAGGCTTCCCGCGGAGCAGGGAGCCCGATGTGGGGCTCGATCCCAGGACCCCAGGATCATGGCCTGAGCCGAAGGCAGATGCTTACCTGACTGAGCCTCCCAGGTGCCCTGTTCCCTGTACTTCTGAGCAAATGACTATGAATCAGAGGTTCCCACGACTGCCTCCTCAGGTCAGACGACTTGACGAGAGGGGCTCACAGAGCTCAGAGAAACCCTTTATTCCCGGGATCGTCCATTTATTACAAAAGCCCCACTCTGCCAGCCAGCACCCCCACATGCCCACCGACCGGAAGTTCTCCGAGTCCTGTCCTGGGTATTGTGGAGGCTTCACGACAAAGCACGACTCATCAAATCCTGGGCGCCGGTGACAGACGCAGCCTCCAGCCCGTCCGCCATCCGTCCCCAGCGGTCAGGGGTGGGGCTGGGAGTTCTCCCCGCCAGGCCACCGGCTCCCCTCATTAACAAGCAAAAGTCACCTACAGGTCTCTCAGTATTTAGAAGCTGGCAAGGGGTAGGAGCTCTGTGGGCAAACAGGATGGTGAAACCTAAATCCTGAGCTATAAATCACAGGCCCGGGAAGGAACCCACGGCTCTGGAAGGTCCAGCGTGTATCAGGCTTTCAGTGAATCTCCTTTTTGAGTCACACCTCAGCTCGGGGAGGACAGATGTTGCCCGTCCTGTTTTATGGAAGTGGAGTCAGGACTCCCAGCGGCTACACCACGTGCCTGGCCACGTGGTGAGTCCGTGGAGGAAACTGGCCGAGATCCAGGTCTCCTGAAGCCGATGCCACTCCCCAGCCCTGCTGAGAGGATGGGCTGCCTCAGCCCATGGCGCTGCCTGGCCTGACCACCAGGCATTCCCGGAGTCCGTCGTGCCTCTAAGTGGAGCGTGGCTAAGAGGTACCTGTGGGGTGTGGTGCTGTTTGGGCCCAGGGCTGTGGGAGGGAGAGAGGGCACAGGAGGACCCAGGCAGGGGGAGTCTAGGTCCCAAAGAGCTTGTCAGGCTCTGCTCTGAGAGTCATGTCCGTTCCCAGGGGCCAAAGGATCCCATCTGCTGAGCGACGGAAGCTGGCGCTGGGAGCCCGAGGGCCGGCTGCGGGTGGCAGGACACAGGGGCGCCACGGACTTCCATGGTCCCCGGCAGCCTTTTCCTAGGAAGGAAGGACAACCTTCACCCTGAGATTATAGGCTTCCCTTAGTTTACGAAACGAGAGCAGAAGGTCTTCAAGATCACTCCCACACACACTGGGCAAAAGGGAAAGGACGCAGACCTCTGCCACAGTCTGCACGTGGGTCGTTCGTTTTTGATCCGTCTGAGAAATCAGAAACCTGGGACACCAGCCGAGCGTGAGCCCAGGGGGACGTGGGAGGCAGGGAAGTGGAGGCCGCAGGTGTTCGTGGCTTTCTGTGGGTCAGTGCTACTTAAAGTGTGGTCCAGGATCACCTGGGAAAGCCGATTCCTGGGGCCTCCCGCAGACCTACAGAGTCAGTACTTGGACCACACAAACTCTCTGAGTGATTCTGATGCACTCAAAGGGAGACAGGAACCACTGGGGAAATCATGAAGCGGAGGGAGAGGAGGGGCTGGTGAGGGTGTGGGGCCCTGGGCCAGGCGGAGGCAGGAGCCGGGAGGGGCTGGGGCCAGAAGCGGAGGCAGGGATGGCTTTGCCCTTGCAGTGGGGAAGAGAGAACCCAGTGGGAGTGCGTTTGCAGTTGGGGGTGGCCTTGAAGCTGTACGATGTGGGAGGCAGGGTCTGGCTGTGAGGCCAGGGGGCTGTGACGTGGTCCCGGGGAGATGGGTCACACGGAGCAGGTGTGGGGAACTGGGGCCAGGCTGTGGGCCCAGGAGGTCTGCCATGCCACCTGTTGGCGAGAGCCACAGGATGCACCATGGAGTCCCCTTCCCCACCCTCCAGGGGGCTCCCCGGACAGAGAAGGCCGGGCTCCCCCACACGGCCCACACCGGCACCTGGTTCCCAGCTGAGCCCTGACCGAAGCCACACTGAGTCCTGAACAGGCTGGGGGATCTGGTAGCTGCATCCCCAGAAGGCAGGGGACCTGCGGGAATGCTGGCTGGGTCTCGGGCCACGGCTGTGGTCCCCGGGGCTGGGCTCCTCCTGCCTCCCTGAGCGGCACCCCCTCTCAGGCCCCCCAGCCCTGAGAGCCCCCAGGCCTGTGCCCTGATGGGGCAGTCTCACACGCAGCCTCCCTGGCCCGGTGCCCTGCCCAGACCTGTTCTGGATTCCACACCACCCTTCCCCAAGGCAGCCTCCACCTCCCACCAGCCAGGAGCAGGCGAGGCCAGGACTCAGCGGGAAGGCCGGCAGGCGGCAGAGCCGGTGTGGGCACCGTGGAGCCATGGAACCGGAGGCAAGGCCCGTGCTCTACCAACAGCTGCTGCTCTGGGACCCCAGCTTGGGGTCTGAGGATGATGGGGACGATGAGGAGGAGACCTCTGAGCTGGTCGTTTCGAATTCCTGGAGGCCCCACAACTCCTTGGGGTGAGTCAAGGAGGGGTCTGCGCACCCGGGCCCTTGGGCCTGAGGCTGGCAAGTCCCTCCCTCTGGAGCCGCTAACGTGGGGGCAGAGGGCAGACACCCCCATGCTTGGCTCGACTTGGCTCCAGGAACTTTCTGGGTGAATGGGGAAAAGCCGGGCTGCAGCCCCAGACCCGGTCTCCACCAGCTATTCCGAGGTTTGTGCTCGGATCACCCCCAGCCAGCCGTGCCCGCTGCTCCGTCAGAGGGCCCCACCCCCACCCCCGGTGCAGGAGGCACCTGCTGGGCAGGCTGGGGTCTGGCAACACCTGGCTGGGCCTAGCTCCTCAAGCCAGACGAGCCCCCCGCCCCCGGGCCTCCCTCCTGCCGGTCTCAGCCCAGAGACTCTCTCCCTGGCTGGCCTGTGTCCCCAAGCCCCTTTCAGTCACCATGTCTTCTCTATGTGGTGCCAGGAGGCCTTTCTGGAAAATAGTCCCTGGGCTCCCTCAGAACTCTCGGTCGTCCCCTGGTCCCAGGCCTGACGCAGGACACCCTTCTCGGCAGGAACGAGGTTGGCAGGCTGCCCGGGGCCTGGGCTCGCCTTGGCGCCGCCCTGCTGCTGCTGGTCACTGGCTTCTCCCTGGCTGCGAGGCAACTCTACATGAGGGGTAACCCTACAGGAAGCCAGGGCTCAGCAGCCCCCCGGCCCGGCGGGCACTCCCATGCCCCTGGTGTGTACCACCACGGTGCCATCATCAGCCCGGCAGGTCAGAGCCAGTAGCCGCTTGGGGGGGAGGGCAGGGCCCAGGGCACTGGTCGCTGGCCATGCCCCAAGACAATGTCTTCCTGGCCGTAGCCATGTGCTCCCACCTGGGCCAAGAGCTGCTCATCGCCGGGGGCAACGTCGTGGACGCGGGAGTGGGAGCAGCTTTGTGTCTGGCGGTGGTGCACCCTCACACCACGGGGCTAGGTCAGTGCCCCGCAGCCCTGGACCTGCTCCGTGATCTGTACCTTAGGTCCTGACACCCCGGGCCGCTCAGTGGCAGGACCTAGGCTGTGAGCTCTGCTCCCTGGTGCATGTGGTCTTGACCCTGGGCCTAGTTACTGACCCCTGTCTCCAGGCCCAACCTCAGGCGAAGGTAGTGACCTCCCCCCGGGACCACTGAGCGAGCCTGATCCCATGGCCCCTGAGTCCTGGGTGACCCCTCTGTCTCCTCCAGGTGCCACGTTCTGGGCCCTCTTCCACAACAGCTCCTCAGGCAGCCCAACTGCCCTGACGCCAGGCCCCGCGCGGCCCCTGGCCCCCGGCCTGCGGCTGCCGTCCGCCCTGCCGAGCTTGCGCCTACTGCACGCGCGCTTCGGCCGCCTGCCGTGGCCACGGCTGCTGGGGGGCCCCGCCTCGCTGGCTCAAGACGGCTTCCTGGTAGACACAGCCCTGGCCACAGCTCTGGCAGCCCGGGGCACAAAGGGCCTCTGTCCAGTACTGTGCCATGCCGATGGAACGCCCCTGGGCCCCGGGGCCCGAGCCACCAACCCCAAACTGGCAGCCGTGCTGCGCCTAGAGGCCCAAGCCCCGGACCGGGCCGGGGACACCCTACTGAGCCTGCTGGTCAGAGACCTGGGGCTGCGGAGGCCCCACTCCAGGCCCATGCCCACCCTGGAGCCCGCGGTGCAGCAAGCCATACCCCAAGGCGTCCTGTCCATCACCCCTGGCCCCTCAGCCTGCCCAGAGCTGCTGGCGATGGTAGGGGCAGCCCTGCGCTCAGGAGAGCCCGGCCCCGACCCCTGCCCGGCACGCTCACCAGCTCCCGTGGGCCCTGTGGGCACTGTCCTGGCCACTGTAGACAGCGGTGGCTCGGTGCTGCTCCTTACCTCCTCACTCAGCAGCCCCTTTGGCTCCGGACACCTGTCCCCGAGCACTGGGGTTCTCCTTAGTGACCTGGTGGCCAAGCCTACAGACAGTGCCTGGGCCTGCCCCCTCCTCCTCCATGGAAGCTCGGATGACACAGAGGCTGACATGTTAGGGCTGGTGGCTTCGGGAACTCCTGCGGTGGCCAGAGTTGTGACTCGTGCCCTGCTCAGTCACCTGGCTGGGCCCCAGACCCAGGTCCAGCACCAGCGACGGCAGGGACCGACACTGAGCACTAGCGTTTGTGGCCAGGGGACCCTGCTCCAGGTGGCTGTCCAGGCAGAGCATGCCCATGTCTCCGGTGTCCCCAGCAGCTGCTGCACTGTCCAGGGGTTCTAAGTGGGGGATGTGTCTAGCCGGGGGTGGGAGGGTGGGGGTGTCCCACCTGGCGGCAGGAGCAGAACAGACCCAGCAATGAGGTCGTGCATAGCAAGCATGCCTAATTACCGGCTCGCTGCTAGCTCAGGCCCACAACGTTGGCCCAGTCAGTACCCTGGACTCCAGATCGGGTTCTTTTTCAGCTGAGGAGACTGAGGGTACTGGGGAAAGAGCCCCAGACTCCAGTTCAGATCCAGCTCTGAGAAGGACAGATAGTAGGGTGCCAAGCCCCTGCCTTGGCTCCAGACCCGGTGGGCAGAGCAGGCAGAGCCTGGGGTCCCGCTGGCCTCTCTGTCTTCCCCTTCAGGCCACCCTCTGCCGATGTCCCTCAACTGAGCTGGAAACAAAATAAAGATCAAATCTCCCGGATGTCTGTGCTGCCTGCTTCCCAGTTTCCCATCGGCCTGTGAGGTGCTGGGTGTCATGACCTCCTCGTTGGGCACCATCGCAGACCTACCCCGGACAGGCAGAGGCTTGGGCCACGGTCCTCCAGCTTCCCCTAACCCTGTTCGCCTTCTGCTCCTGGGGCACCATAGACAAAAGGTAAACGTTTGCGTCTCACTTCCTAAAACGGCAGAACAAGGAAGCGGATGAGAGGAGGAGCAGAAGGGGCCCCAGGGGCCTGGGGTCAAAGGGAGCCAGAGCTGGGGGTGTGGGCCTTAAGGTGGGTGTTGGCCCTGACATTGCCAGCCTCCCACGCCCTGGGGGGCCAGGGCTGGGGTCCCCGGGGATGACAACCCTCCAGAGACAGCCGCTGCAGTGCTGACGCGGGGTGACCCGCTGTGCTCCTCCTCCTGGCCCTTGCCAAGTTACCCCTGCTTTCCTGGAACTCACTCCCCTCCCTCAGTGAAGGGCAGCACCGGCTACCCGGCTATGTCCGCCCTGTCTGTTCTTCTCCCCCACACCCATCACCCCCGACCAGCTCCGGATCAGCTCCGGACCAGCGGGACTCCCACGGGCTGGCTCCATCCACCCCCACGAGGGGCCCCTCCTGCTTTTCCGCTGCGGTCCTGCGACCCCCACCCCACACGGGCCAAGTGATCTTTTCAAGGCCTGCCCGCCCACAAAGCCCTCCGGGGTCCCCACTGCGCTCAGGCTGAAGTCTGAGGGGCTCCCGGGTGGCTCGGTGGGCCAAGCATCCCACTAGCATCCCGCGCTAGGTTTCCGCTTCCGCCGCGGACTCGGGGTCCTGGGATCGCCCCGGCGGGACTCCGCAGGCTCACTGGGAACTCTGCTTGAGACGCCCTCCCTTCTCCCTCTGCCCCTAAAATAAATAAGTAAATCTCTAAAGTGAGTCAATAAGGGCGCCGGGGTGGCACCGGCAGTGAGGCGTCTGCCTTCGGACGGGGTCTTGAACCCGGGTCCTGAGATGGAAGCCCCCCCCCGCCCCACGTTAGGCTCCCCGCTCAGTGAGGAGCCCGCTTTTCCCTCTCTCCTCGCTACCTCTGTCGCTATCTTGGTCTCTCTCAAATAAGTAAAATCCTTTTTAAAAAATAATAAAATTAAATAAACCCCGGGGCGAGCGCACCAGGCCCGCCCAGACTCCCCGCCCCCAGGCGGCTCAGCCGGTCCCCTGCGCGACAAGGCCCCGCCCCCGGCCGGCGAGGCCCCGCCCCCTGCTCCGCGAGGCCCCGCCCCCGAGGTCCGCCCAGCGCGCACGCGCCGCGACCTGACCCGGAAGAGGCCGTCTTCAGAGCCCACGTGTTCGCGGCGCGAGGCAGTCATGGAGAGTCGGGTCTCGGCCGAGTCTGCGTCCCCCGTGGGGGCGGCCACGAGCGGCCCGCGGCCGGCAGACCGGGAGGGGCTGCTGCAGCAGAGCCGCGAGTTCTTGGACTTCTTCTGGGACATTGCGAAGCCGGAGCAGGAGACGCGGCTGGAGGCCACGGAGAAGCTGCTGGGGTACCTGCGCGCGAGGCCCCAGGTGCGCCGGCGCCGGGGGCGGGCGGGGGGCGCGCGGCGGACAGGGCAGGGACAGGGCAGGGGCGAGCGGCGGGGGTGGCGGTGCGCCCCGCCGGACCGCCATCCTCACCGCCGGCCCTGCTCGCTCCGGCAGGGACCCGAGAGGAAGTACGCCCTGAAGCGCCTCATCACCGGGCTCGGGGTCGGCCGAGAGACCGCCCGGCCCTGCTACAGTCTGGCCCTGGCGCAGGTGAGCGGCGGCTCCGGAAGGGGCCCAGCCGGGCGCTCGGGGCGCTGGGGAGTGGGGAGGGCGGGCGTTGGAGCCGAGGCGCCGACCCCGCGCGGACGTGGGAAACCGAGCGGAGCCCGTGCCCAGGGACGCCCAGGCGGGTGGGCCAGGGGGTGAGCAGTTTTCTTTCTGGGGACGTGGGTGGACCAGCCTCGGGGGGTCACAGACCGGGCAGAGTGAGCTCTGGGGTGGGTTACCGTTCCTTGGCGAGGTTCGGCGCGCTCTTCTCTCCAGGGGGTTAGAGGCCGCCCTGGAGGCACGTGGGCAGCTGGGAGGGTGTTCCAGACTCAGTCCCTTAGCACCCTCGCTGGGGGCGGCTCAGAGCAGGTTGTGGAGACAGCAGGCTGTGGAGATGGGCTAACGGAGTCTCAGCCAGAGGAGTGGTTTTTTGAAGCCTGATGGGCCCGGGCGGGGAGGCGAGACTGAGCTCCCTCCAGCAGCCGTGTTCACACACCAGCACTGCTTGGGGTGGGCACCCAGAGGCACCGCGGGCCTCGCGCCAGAAGTTGAAGGGAGACTAGGAAGGAGGCTGGGGTCTCTTGGGTGGGGCTGGACCTCCCCTCCCTGAACGGTTCGCCCTCCTGCTGCAAACCCCTGGCAGCTGCTGCAGTCCTTCGAAGACATCCCCTTGTGCAGCGTCCTGCAGCAGATCCAGGAGAAGCACGACTTGCAGAAAGTTAAGAAGGTGAGTGTTCGTGGCCTGGGGGAGATGGGCAGCCCCAGGCCGGGGTTCCTGGGCCCTTTTCACTGATGCCTGAAACTCCTTTCTAGGCGATGATGAGACCGGCTCTTTTTGCAAACCTCTTTGGGGTGCTAGCCCTCTTTCAGTCCGGCAGGCTGGTGAAGGTGAGAGGTTTGGGGGCAGGGGGCATGTGGGCAGGCTGGAGAGTGGGGGACTTGTGGCATGCCCTGCTCATAACCGTGTCCCCTCTCTGGGCACCAGGACTCCGAGGCGCTGCTGAAGTCGGTAAAGCTGCTGCAGAGCCTGGCCCAGCACCACAACCACCTCCAGGAGCAGCCCCAGAAGGCCCTGGTGGACATCCTCTCTGAGGTACGGGCTTCCCGCCGTGAGACCCCAGGTGGAGAGGCTGAGAGCGGAAGCCTGGACACCCCACAGCAGCAGTGTCCCCGGGGAGGTGTTCAGTTTCATGGATCTGGAGTGATGTTTCCACCCATGATCGGTGCGGAAGTTGCAGAGGATCCTTATGTTCTCCTCCTGTCGAGTCCCTAGAGTCCCGCCAGCCTCTTGTCCTGGGGGCCATCTCCATTCACATGACTGCGCTCTGAGAGCTCAGCGGCTGCTGCGCTGGACGGCGCCGTTCTAGAGCAGCACCTGCCACGTGGCAACCGAATTAAACATGTTTGCCATTTTTGTTTTGGGCAGAGCTGACCCCCAGGGCCCCGCAGCCCTGCTGGGGAAAGGGAGGTGGGCCAGTACCTAGAACCCTTTGCTTTGGAGGAAGAGGCGGGGGCGTGAACTCAAGTCCCAGCTCTCCGCTTGGCGCAGCTTGTACAGGAAATGAACTCATCCCTGGGGGCTTCCGGGAGGCTCAGTGGGTTAGGCGTCTGCCTTCAGCTCGGTGTCCTGGGTTCAAGTCTCATGTCGGGCTCCTGCCCAGTGAGGAGCCTGCTTCTTCCTCTGCGGCTCCCCCTATGCGTGCCTGCTCTTTCAGTTGCTCTGATAAATATTTAAAACGAACTAGTCCTGAATCAACCAAAAGGGGGGTAATTAAAAGGGTAGCTAGTCAGCATCGGTGGGGCAGTTGTTAAAAACCCAAGGCCCCAGGACTGGCCGTGGAGTGAGCTCCATAACAAACAGCTTCTCGGAGTGCTGGTGCCTAGCAGGGTGGGGGCGGCTGTCCCACCTCACCTGGCACTGTGGGGGGCCTCACAGAAGCCTGGCAGGTACAACAGGGCCACAGGGCTCCCCTCACAGGGGACGTGGCACAGGTGCTGGACAGCGCGACCCTCCCCTAACCGTGTCCCCACGCCAGGTCCCAGAAGCCACGTTGCAGGCGATCCTGCCGAAAGTCCTCAAGGCGGACTTGAATTCAGTCCTGGGCTCCCCCGAGCACCTGGAGCTCTTCCTCTTGGCCCAGCAGAAGGTGCCGGAGAAGCTTAAGGAGCTGATGGGACCCGTCAACCTGTTCTCGGACGAGAACATCCCCAGGTGTGAGGGCGGTGGGAGGACGGGCTCCCCCGGGGACCCTGCCGCCCATGGGCCGGCGCCCCCTGAGTCCCTCCACCCCTCCCCAGACTGGTGAACGTCCTGAAGACAGCGGCCACCTCCGTGAAGAAGGAGCGCAAACTGCCTGCCGTGGCTCTGGACCTGCTCCGCCTGTCACTGAGGGAGGGCAAGTTCCCGAGGTTCTGGAAGGAGGTGGTGGAGCAGGGACTCCTGAAGAAGCAGTTCTGGCCGGCCAGGTGCGTGGGGGTCCATCTCGGGGGTGGGGGGCAGCCAGGTGCGCGGCCGGTTGTGCAGGGCTCTGAGCGGGCTGTCCCTGCTCCCCCAGCTATCTGTGCTTCCGCCTGCTGGGCGCAGCGCTGCCCCTGCTGTCTGAGGAGCAGCTGCCCCTGGTGATGCAGGGCGACCTGATCCGGCATTTTGGGGAGCACATGGTTACCGCTAAGGTGGGTCTCCTCCCCCCCCCCCCCCCCCCGCCCCAGCACTGCCAGGAGGGTGGGCGCCTCGGGGGTCAGCCAGCTTCTTGGGAAGATGGTTGCTCTTTGCCGCAGCATATCTGGTCTCCTGTCTTGGCAGTCCTGCTGGGGAAACGGGGGTCCCT